TAGTAATCTTCTGATATACATCTCATTCTGAACGGCCACGGCCACTAAGTATCCTTCCCTTGTAAGAGCGGTAAAGGGTAGTAGCAGCTTCCAAATTTCGACAGACAAAAAAGATTTTTGAAGTTTTGAGGATAAAAATTACGCTATGTATAGCATGATGCAAAAGCGTTAACTTAATAGGTAGATTGCGTTGTTATAACATATGATGCGCCACTTCAGAGCTTGAATCAATGACTCCGTTGCCGAGGAAGCTAATAAAGTAGCTCATTAAAGTACATATGAATTAGTAAGTCTAGTAAGAAAAGAGCGAAGACATGAGGATCAAAATGGAGGAGACTGTAAACGAAAAAGGGACTAAATTCAACTACTGGGCAAAGTTGATAGGAAAAATTCGCGAAGCAATGAGGAGACTCTAGTCTATCAATTTATCTAATTATTCACAAAATTCAAATCTAGTAATGAACAAGAAAAAAGCTCGTTTTCTGACATGGGGATGTATGTGGTGTTAAAGAATGCAGATGTTTCTTGTTGTAAAAATAAACTGCAATTCTGCAAAAAAAAAAACAAGTATAGCACGTCTGCTGCTGCTGCCACGCTCGACTCTATTGGATTTCATTGACTCCTTATGTTGGTCGTCAAATTGCTAGCATTTAAATTGCTCACCTTCATCGATTTAGCTAAGGTTAAACCTCTGTCCAACGAGTTTGTTTTTTTATGTCCTTGTCTACCGTTTCGAATTATGGCATCACGAAGCGTTGACACTACGGATTCGTTTGATACCCTAAGATCATTAATTACGTACAAGTACAGCAATCAAGAAAATGCAAGTCGGAAAACAATTTCAGCTTTGGAAGAGTGGAGAAATTTGGTGCATGTAGCAGTCACGGAGGCCCCGTGACATCCTAGGATTAGATACCGTCCTTTTGTGTAACATTGGCAAGTGTTCAAATTTTACGTAATTCTTTGAGCAACTCTTCGGAAGTTCACCAGAGAAGATTCTTACTTGTTTCAGAAACCAAGGCAAAGAAAGAGTTCTTGACATAGTCAAGATTACAAGACCCACAAACGGTAACATGCTAGATGACAATTTTCGGGAAACACAATTCCATAGATTGAAGTGGTTGTCCCAGGACTTCTTCTATTTGATTTTGTGCTTTCTTTTAGTCAAAACGAAAGTCAGTTGGCATAAAGCAGCATTCCGATGTATGGTTTTCCTGATAGCTGATCTCCGATGGATATGCAACGGGTACCTGAGTTCCTCTCCCCAGATAAAACTATGAAGAATCATCTTCTCATCCGCAGGCTGGGGAAAGCTCTTCACATTGGGATTTTTTGTAATTACAAAAGAGGAGGGAGAATTTATCGTGGACATATGTGTATGTCCCATAAAAAATTGTAAAAATTAAACCAGATCACACACACTTTGGCACACGGCTAATATAGGCGACATAATCTTTATTGATTTATTGATTAACCTTGCTCAACGCTTAGATTTCCGCACGAGGATTTGTAACTGCTAATTATGGTTATACTTTTCGGCAAACATCTGTTGAATTTATCCGTATTTTTTGGCCTTTTTCGCTCAGACCTAAAAATTGTGCTCACTCCTGCCCATACGAGAAATGAAAGCTGAGCTTTGCCTTTTTCAAACAAATTGCCTTAAGTATTGTTATTCTAGCCAAGAAGAGCAGGATAAACAGCTAGTTTTGTGCATAGCACTCTCCTGATTTCTCCAAGTTGACCTCGACATTTTTGAGAGAAGCAGGAATTTGGCATGTTAATACAAAAATTAATTATTTCTATATCAGAAATTTTCCTTCAGCGTTTCCCAGAAGTACTATCTCACTCCTAATCGTTTAACTATTGCACTTATGGGACCTTCTCACTGAAAACAAGAAGAATTTCCCATCGCTTACAGAGTAAATTGTCAAATTCCTTAAACCTACACAACTCAATAAGATTCTAACATATGGATTAAGTCTGAATGACGCACTGGACTTTCCAGGCAGATCCGTATGTATAATCCAGAACACTACTTGGTACGATAATCCCAGAGATGGGGCATAAATTAGAAAAAGAGAAATGTTTTTATCATATGCGATAGGTCGACGTTAATGTGTTAAATTTTTATAGATTAGCTTCAGCGCAAATTATATCTACATCAGCTTTGTACAAATAGATCCTGAGAACTGAGAATCCTGTGTGTTATATAATGTTGAGAAAAAACCGTTGCAATTCTGTGAGAGATTTTTAAGCTACCTGTCTCCGTCTCTTGGCGTGCTTGACCGAAGACTAATGCTAGCTTCCAAAGGTCGAAATGAAGCTCTGGGAGGAAGTGGCGGAGGAGAACGTAGATCATTACGTTTCTAAGACAGACATTTGAAATCAGATCTATTACTGATCATCATAATAAATTCCTACATATCGTGAAGAATCCGGAAGTGGTAGGGGTGGTGGAGGATGGTCGGGAGGAGGTCCAATAGGCGATGTTGTGGTAGGTGTTGACGCAATGCTGGATGATGGTAAGATCCCCTAAAGGCTTTTACTTTCACCGTCCATGAAGCCATTAGAAGAATTATGTGGGTTGCCGCTACTTTACAGAAAAATAGCGAGTCAATCCTTATTTAGTCAGTTTTTAGCTTACGAATAGCACCAAATCACCAAGTCATAGTGTGAAATGCTAATGGAACTATAAAAAAAACTTACAAGACCACAAGACGACCCATTTGGTTCACGGTATGTGTTTAGTCGTATATAGTTTTGTAAACATGGAAGATCCTTCAGACAAGGTCCAGCTCTGGTGCTTAAGCTGTCAGAAGGATGCACAATCTAAAGAAAGATCACAGACGTATAAGAAGATCAGAGCCATGAAACATACGACAGTATGTGTCTCAGCGAGAACACGACGATGCCATGAATGTAAACTAGTTGTTTCACTCGTAATGCTAAGAGAATCGCAATCTAATGGTAAAGGGCACTGCGATATGATTTCCTTTGCACCAAATTCCTCCCTCATTCGACATCTTAAAGCGGTAAGACGATCACGCCGTAAGGCAGAAGACGGGCATTCCTGATATTGATGCGAGCTTTGAACTTCAATTTCAAAAAATTTGTTTTTTCCCATATAAATACCGAGAACCAATATTTACCGTAGAAAGATTTACATATGCGGGAGAAAACGTTTCTTCGAAGATCAGCTGAGTACCATCACCGACATTTCCACATACGTTCGACAAATTATCCTGAAACGTGTGTATTTGTTTTTTGTTTCACTATTTAAGTGTTTGTAATAACGTATATATTTTAAGATATTTTTATAAGTAACACCAGCATAAGACACATTTTAAGAATGTTGGTAATTTTAGAAAATTGCGACCAAAGAGGAAATAATCATCTCCTAAAGAAGCAATGCTCAGCTTTCCATTTCGAAGTTTCCTCCTCTAGCCCTAATCTGTGCAACTTGTATGGATCAGAATTGGTCAGAAGGAAACTGTTTAGACTAGCCTAAACG